TATATACACTGAAATCCCTACACTCTGTAATCGGCAGTTGAAAATCCAAAGTGATGAATTGCATCATCTTTAGCAGTGGATACTCTACTTGGCTTTTATGGTAAGGAATAATCTTTAAAAATAAAAAACAATGAGAAGATTGTTAAATTTACTCCATCGTGGCAGTTTTCATGGCAACAAGAAATGTCGGAATTTGAATTTTCCTCTCGTCAGTTAAGACTCTCTTTCTCACAATCGTTTCTCCCCTTTTCCCCCTTGCACAATCTGCTCTTAGTGGTGATACTTCATAAGCATATGGAGGAAACACCTGAATCTGCTGCTGTTGTGGAGATAGAACAAGCATTGGACCGGCTCAACCAAAAGGTAATATTCTAATCCCTTTCTTTTCTACCTTCCACTAGAGAGATTAAATACTTAAAAACACCCCCTAATACGCATTTAAAGGTCTTCCCAAAGATCTTTTGGCAATTTGGTTCTTATCTGGGTATCCTTGCGAGCAAAGTCCTACTTGCCGCGATGGAGGGTGAATTTAACAATCCCCAACAAGAAAAGATAAAAGTTGAGTTTACCCTAAGGTTAACAATGCAATCATGACATGATCATTGCTCTAACATTCGCATACCACTGCTTGCTACACGTAGTCAATCCCCCAGAGTGCAGTGCAAAACCCATTTCTCTATAGGTCTGAGTATCATTTCTTCACAGTAGTCTCAAGCGCAATTCATATTTCCTATCTTCATCTCCATCTACTTCCTGACTAAAGCAATTTTGTTCACTGCCGATTAATAATTCTCCTTTTGGCTTTTACTTAAGTTTCAAATGGAGATTCCTCAAAAGAGGACCGGACCTTTAAATTGCTCCTTAAGACATCACTGACTTACAGAGCTAAATTGCGCACTTTGAGGGAAAATAGACGAGGAGAAAGACTACTTTGCAATATTTTGTTCGACAATATCATTGGCTTAAAGATAAAGTCATGCTCAAGAGTATTATTTAGCTCAAGTAAAGTACCGGGATACATGTGCTTCGTGCCTTAACTTGGAACTGTAGATCTCGAGTTTCAGTCATTTGATGACACTTGATTCTTTGTACTTGGGAAATTTCAGATTGCCTCGTTCAAACCTCAGAACGAGGTCCTTCAAAAACATAATTTTTAGTTATAAAGCCGAACTTGCAGGCAAGTCCCACGTCAACAGAAATGTCTAATGGCAACGTAAAGACATGTTCATGCACACTCATGATGTTCAGATGTACCTTGGAGAGATCAACCGACCACAATATTTTCCGCACGCATATCTTCAGACTAAGTGCTATGTATTGCAGCTTGTTGTGTATTCAGATCGACTCCTCATACATAACGGAATAATTATCAGCAAAACTATTGGAGTTCCACAAAGGATTGAAGTAGTATACTGAAATTGTCAAAGAAAATTCAAGCTCAATTTTCTATGACTCTCCTTTATCGATTGTTGAAAACTTCAATTTCTGCAAGTTGATCGATGAGTCTAATCTGGATTTTTGCTGCAGAATCCACGCATATTTGACCACATTTTTCACGGGACATTCTGTAGTACTGCAACTCCAGTTGCGGTAGAAGCTTTTCCCCAGCTTCAAGTTACACAGAACTCAAACTGCTTAAGATGCAGCCGTTAGATCACATTGCGGGGGTATAAAATCTGTAGGCACCGGTGCAACAACAAGCAAACCTGAACTGCCTGCTTGTTCTGTACAATCAACGGGCCTTCTCATTAACTTCAAAATGAGTACTCCATCTGGAGCTCGCTCCCTTGAGTGCCCTTCCTGGCACACGCTGGCAGTAGTCTTGTTTATTATCCCCGCACTTCTTATAGCTCCTGCTCTAATTGCGTCCTCTACCTAGTAATAGTCGAAACCCTGCATGTCCTCTACCTTCTGGAATTTCGGAGACTCACTGACGGATACCGGGAGCACACTGAACGTCTTCCTTTGGTTCTTGGACCCCGAACGCAGTTCCTATGGAGAATCGTTCTTCGGGCGGCGAGCTAAACGCTTCTGCAACAGACGTGTTGTCCCTGACTTCTTCTGTACGTTCAGTCCCTGAGTTCATTTTCCCAAATGCTAGTAGATCAAATCGATAGATCCGATTTTTCAGGTTGTAATATCTGGACATTATCATCTGCCGCCAGGGGTCGTGCATGTCGGCGCAGACCACTGATTTCAACACTGAGAGATCAGATCGCCAGAAATGTGTCTCGATCAATTCAAACTATTGGCTAGCCCATGCCAAAGGCCATGATACGTTCATGGAAAACTTGTGCCATGACAAAAGTTGAAGAGTTGGAGATACCGGTGCCTATGATGTTATGCATGGCCGTATGGTACACGGTAACGTACCATATATGGTTCCAATCTCCATATTCTAGTAGTTGCTAAAGATGGTAGATTGTCCTTAGCCATGCTGGAGTGTTTTGGGCTGGCGTTTGTGGAGGTTCGTAATGGTGTTACAGCTCTGGCGTTCAAGTACCCGCTCCTGCAACCATATCTCCAGTCTGCTGCATTCGATTACAACTATAAGCCAACTTCGATTCCTCCGGAACAACTGCTTCAAACGACACTTCAAAAGGAACCGATGTTACTGAAGTTTCAAGTAACTGTATAAGACAGACTCAAGCAGAGTACACGTTCTCAGAAGAATCAAATTAGTGTATTTCTTTCTCTTCTTCCTTTCTTGTTGTAAAATGACCGGACCTAGGTAAGAGAATTGATAGGTGTCATTAAAATTTTACGTTCTTTTACTTTGCAACCTACGATACAGGCATTCCATTCCACTACTTTCATCCGAACATATGTCAAGTTGTCAATGAACAAAGCATGTGGAATCAGTTTTATGATGCTTGAGTTCCAACGACTGATACCATTGAGTTGTCCTCTGATTGTCTATCCAGCGTGCCAGCCTTCAAACAATATCTGCCTCTAGATGACTCCTATGACGAAATGAAATAGAAATTGGAGGAGTTGACATTTTTTGCGCCATATTTCTCAAAAACCAGACAGCAGCGCAAGTACTAACTCAAGTGATCCCTGCGGCCATGAAAAACATCGCAGACAGTATCAAGGTAAATTCTTCATGATAGAATGAAGATAGATATGAACAAGTGATAATCTGATGAATAGGATCAATTCTAAGCTATCGGAAAAAAGCGAAATAGCAGAGCGTTGACAGATGATATAGTTAAGGTTTTAGAATTGTTCTTCTAAGAACTTCTACAACTCACAAACTTGGTTCAAGTATAATATTTCCTCTTATTATTTGTGCACTTGAGGGCAAACTTGTACTAAGTGTTTCATTCTGAGATTTTCCAATAATCAGATGTAAACTTTGTTCATGTATCCCTTTTTCCTAAGACAGTTGCGACTGATCAGCCAAAGTGTCTCATATTAATATCTTAATATCTTGTTGTACAGATTTTTGTTGCCAAAAAGTTTCTCTTCTTCAATGCTCCTAATGCAGGCTGCAGTACCATAGCTATCACCCGGGGTACAGAAGGACGCTATGGGCTGTATTGTATTTATCAATCAGCTGGATCCAGCCTACAACATAGCTCTAAATGAGACAATTGCAGCTGCTAGACTTTGATATCCTGCTAGAACCTTCTCCATCTTCAACTACTACGCTGCCAATTTGGAGATTTTGACAAAACCCTTCCTTTACGGTACATTCTGAACTCAATCGCACCGTGAAGTTGCAGGACAAGAATTTGGAGTCGATGCATGGTACATGAGACTTCTTCTTTGAATGCGTGAACAGCTGAATATCTCACGCTCTCTCGACTTCTGCTTTGAAATGACAGGATTCAATCCAGCTTTTAACCAAGCGTGCATGCTGCGGAGCGCCTGGATTTGGAACCCTCATCTACAACCCGCTCCTTACTTGCGGTAATGCAGGGTCAAACAAATGTGCAAACCCGGGCGAGTATGTTAATTGTGATGGTGTCCATTTTACAGAAGCGTTTTACAGGCAAATTGCCTTATGGGCCCTCGCTGGAAAATTACCCTGTCAACTACACCTCCCTGTGTAACTTAGATTTCCATAACTTTGCAAAGTCCTCCACAGACAACTACAACTGTGTAATATCTTCAGAGTTGCAGGGTTACTTTCACGTGGTTATCTTCTAAGGCTTTCATCCATCTCCAATTAGTGACTAAAAGCGCGGAGAAGCAGAGAACTAGATTTCAGATAAGGTACTATCAGGACGTTCGAGAACGCTTCATGGCCTGAAGCACATTACTCCGTGAACATATTACTTCATTTGAGTATCCCTTGTCTTTCTTGGAGGCCGTCTAAGAAAGCTGCGTAATTTGAGTTCATCTAGGACGCTCGTGTGAATAAAACACAATCTGCTCACAAGAATGTGAATTAGGTCTTGTGTGGTGTCTTTTGACACTACACGAGGTGAAGGTTATCCCGAATGAAATGGCTCGAGGAAAATTGAAATGTTCATCGCAGTGGAAATCGACCACCGTCATGTTGCAGTTTACATAATTATCTTTGGGCAGCACACAGACCTGCTCCAAGCGTCGAATTTCCATCTCTATCATAAGTTGCAAATCATCCGCTAATCTTCATCTATCAACCAAGTTATTTTCTGGAAAGGCGAGGTCTCAAGTAATTAATTGACGAAAGATGGCGCAACCGGGTATTAAGTTCGGCTTCCATCTGATTCTTCCCGTGTGTAAGGTACGATTGGTCAAGGCTTTGACTTGTGAGGCACGAACCTGGGTATGCTGCGAGAAAGTGAGACTCCTAGGTCGCATATGCTTCGGAAAAATATTCCATCAAAATGGTCACCAACTTTTAATGTGTATGTTCTCTTCAGCAATTTTCCTCAATTACTTTTTTGCACACATGCGCTTCACCTAAAAGACACCGAATTATTTGATCAGCGTTAAGAACTCAATGTCACAGTATGGTGTCTCCGACGCTTTATAAGTTGATCACATCACGGGATTGGAGATACCTCTGGAGACGCAGACCTGATGCGTGACAACATCCAAAACTTCCGTCGACGTCAAAATATGTACCTAGAACGGCACACTGCATTCTATAATATCTTTGTTTTAGCGCAATCTTTTCATCTTTGGAGATCAATGAGGGCTTGTAGACCAAGAGCCCTTCTAATGCTATAACATGGAAAGTTTGGGAAGTGCTAACTTCCATGGGCGTGACACACAAGCCGGACTAAAGTCTTGATCACTGGTGACCATCAATCGTCACTCCTAACAGGTCAAAAACCATGGATGATGGGAGGTGGATATAAACACACTAAGTATAGCTTTACCTCTGCTACAAGTCGGAAATAGCTGGCGAAATTTGTCTTCCCATTACGTTAACCAAACACGATGGTTTTATTTCCACTGTATCTTACTATCCGTTTCTCACAGTAGTACTTGATGGCCTTAGCTAAACACTGTTTCTCCAAATTCTCCGACTTCATGGCAAACGTCGTTAACGTGTCGCGGTGTGATACTCTGTCAACCTGTACCCAGCGGTACAATGACGTCAAGTCAGTTGCTGTTCAAGCAGTTAAGTTAACTGGCATTTGAGCTAATGCATTCACAGGCCACCGCATATACAACAGTAAAGAACCTACAAAAGTAGAATGCTTCGCATCTTACCATCTGCTCAATAATTGGTCCATCGTCTAATTCTTCTGTCACAAAATGACTCGTAGCACCAATCAACTTCACTCCAGCTTGATAAGCCTACATTCCAGACGTTGAGATGGAACTCTTAATGATAAATTCAATCTGCCATTGCACAGTTCCTGCTCAACGGCAGCCCTTTTCAGAAGACCATGCTAAGTCTGCATTCGGAGTTCTGACTGATAAAAAGGGGCATTTGTCTTCATTGTGCGTACGGCCTCCTGTGACAAATGCTGTAATGTTCTATGCGAGCTTTTATAAAGTTGAGAGTTCCAGGCACAAAAGTAGAATACGACAGCTTCTTTGTAAAGAAGCAACAAATTTCCTTCTTCAGCCTCTCTGCAATTTCAAATTTCAGGAAAATAAACGCCTTCATAAATTCAATTCAATTCAAGACACCCTTGAAAGACCATACCTGTCTATATGGATTCGCTCCCTTAAACGAAGGGAGCAACCCGTGATGAATGTTGATGATATCTTTCCCGTAGGACCTCAAAAATGTGGATGACAAGACCTGAGAGTGTTAAAGTTAGATTCATATCATAAACATACATACCTCAGCTAATCCTGAACATTTCTATTCACGGAGAAGCATGTAGTGTATACCTGCATGTAACGAGCTAGAACCAGGAAATCTGTATCTTTGACAAGTTCAACAATTTCTCCCTCCCTCTTGTCGCTCTTGGTTGTGGGTAGATAATGATATGGTATACCGTGCCGCTCCAAGAATCGAACCACGTGAGTGTTGGGTCCCCTACTATGGTTGCTGTGAAACAATTTGCTCCTTGTTAGATTCTCTGTACATGGTACATACAGCTCACTTGCAGCACAATACGGAAAGCAAATCAGCCAGCTGACGTGATGCGAACAATGCTATGTACTCACCTTATAACAGCGCCTATCTGAGCTGGAAGTTCACCTTCCTGCCACCTGTGCAGGAGGTCCACCAAACAGTGATCCTGTTTCCAGCACCATAAGATGGATCAAAGTGACCAATTTATCAGTTATGAGCAACAATTGCAAGATTGGACAAAACTTTGCAATCATATTCCACAAGTCTCTTGGAAGCTTGACGGTCGAAGACACACAACAGATCTACGCATACATGTTTTATAACTACGTTCGTTCTCGTTTGCACAAAAAAGGACATAAATTCATCTGCGATATAAGCCTAGGTGCTACTTGTCTTTCTTAGGTATTATATTTTTTAAGCAATCAGCTTTGCGTTGTATGTATACCGCTATCTCCTTCGATCAATGCACGACAAATCACACTGTGTTTACTGAAAAATTACCTGCCAAGATGCAAGTACTGCCATTTTCAAATTTTCATCACATTCTGGCACGCGTACCAAGGACTTTTGAGCTTTGAAAATATGAGCAATTTCTGCGAAGTCTTCTTCCATCACATCTCGTGGCCACTGCAATGGATCAAAGGAGAACTCACTGGACTATGTACGTGTAAGAATGCAATAATATGTCACGCGAGTCAAAAAGCTTTCATACTGAGACAGTCAGCTTTGTCGGTAGTTGAGAAACTTGATTAGGTGAAAGGGGTATGTATCAATATTTCAAGAGGGCAGTATGAGTATACTAGTAACTTTATAAAATGAACAGGCATCCGAAGATTCACTGATACTTGGGGTACATTCTAATGAGAAATAACTAGTGTTAACAACCATATGAGGCGAACAAGTTATTGAAAGCTTCGGAGAAAAATTTGGAAAAAAAGGAGAAATGTCTGATATAATAACCCTCTTTACCTGCGAGAATAAAAAACAGGTGACCCATTATCAAAATCAATGTAGATGTCAACATTCAGAATGTTCGCCCCCCGCCGTGCAATGTTCTGAGATATGTTTGCCACAATTCCTAATTGATCCTGCATTTCGATGCAAAGCAGATGTTTAATTCTCAGCGACCCACAATTTGAAGTTGAAGGTTATTTCTGCGCTTTACTTATTCAGCAGGAATGTACAGGTACATACATGAACGTCCGACGCGGAAAACCAGTTAAAATGCGATTACTCGATGCGTTTACGTATAGTTCTCCTATCCACGTGCCAAACCCGAAAAATCTACTGTCAATTCTTAAAATGAACACTTCCGTCACCATATATTGTCATTACTAGGGACATAAAGTGTACTTGCAACTTTATAACAACATAATACACTCGACAGCATATTAGACAAGACAGGCAAGTGCTACCGGAGTACAACGACGGCTCCATCTTTCCTTGAACTGGAGCTCAAGTTGACCGAGAAGAAAAGAAAGCAGAAGAAAACAAAGTCCCGAGCTCAGTAGTTAAGGAAAAGGTCTAGATAGCATTTAGACCGAATGTGCGCACATTGACAAATTTCACCACAACGTGACGAAAATGCGAAGAGTTACATCATACCATGAGACTAGTAAGCTGGTGGACTGACTACGCAGCAAGCCTTGTCCATTCAGGTCAACGTAGAAGAGAAGGAGACCCAGCTTACAGAGCATTGAAAAACATGGACTCCATGGAGTCGACGATTCCTGGGGCCTTCCTTCGAATCCTTGAGAACTCTTTGGGAGAACTTCCTCGAGAATTTTTGCCCTCCGCAGCCTGCATCCCCCTGACTACTAAAGCCGCGAACGCTTGCCTTCGCTGGCAAAAGTACAGAGCACCCTCGAATCAGCCGCTCCCACCTCATTTTCTCAGCGTCTCATAATCTGGCCAATGGCATTAACAAATTTCCTACTCAGCCCCCGATGCAAAACCCAACTCCTCCCCTGTTTCGTCCTCCTCCGCTCCTGCCCCCCCTTCCGCCAACCCTCCTATCCTCCACCATATCGCCCAATCCTCTGCCCTCAGTGCCTGATGGCAAACCTCACCTTTCCATTTAACCACCGAAGCAATGCGACACACGAATCACAATCTGGACCTGTGACCAAATCACCATACACACCAGCGGGCGGCTCGGTGTCCAAATTGTTATCTGCTACCTTCACACAACTCACTCCACAAATTTGACGTCTTTGCCGTCACCACGAGGCTCAGGGCTACTCAGGGACCGGCGATCAGAGAAAGATGTACTCCGAAAGGAAGAGGAGATCAAAGAGAAGCCAAACCACGAGGACAGAAAGAGGACACAAGGCATCGAAGGCGCGGAGTGAGAACCAGCGAGGAATTTGACAGGCTAGGACATTTGGACATCGAGGGGAGCGCGAGGGACGAATGGGACGAGGGCGTCGAGCCCATCCGTTTGCGACTCGGGGACAAGTCCAGCGCCACTCAGATCGCCTGCCGAATAGGACGGGATGCGGAAGCCGACAAAAATGACAATGGGGACACGCGGTGACGACACCTGGGCCCGAGTTGTACAGCTAGGAGACCTGGACGAGAGCGGGACAGGAAGAGACTAGGGCTTTGGTCCGCCATGTCAGCAGCGTGTCGGGTGGCCTGCCACATCGGATTTTACGAGTCGATGTCCAGCCAATTATGTGTTGCAGCTACTTTCTAAGATTATCCGAAGCGCAATGACTCCACTTCGTGCACGTATATCCAGGTTCATTCTCCCTCCGATCTTGTCTATCTGGCGGCGGGCGCGCATCCACGACCTCTCGTCTTCCTCTTTGTGAATCGCACACTGCGGATAGGAAACAGTGCCTTACACTGTATAGTAATTTGGTACGATCCCAGACTTTGCTGCACTGCACTGGCTCGGAGCAATAACTCCGTAATTCTCTTCATCAATCCAATTAGAACTTCCTGGGTCCCTCGACCGGCTATAGCCAGTTTGTGGTGGGTAGTTACCTGTTACTGCATGTGCTTTTTGCATGTATCGAACATACGGGAACAACATATACATCTTTTATTTTCAATCCAAAGGATAGTGCTAGGATGCACGATAGGATATCATTGTTATCTGTTTCGAACCGACACGAACGAAAATCACTTTATCCGTTTGCGGAAAAAAAATCAAAATAATTTTTGCTTTTAATCTGTTGCCCATCTAGGGAGGCTAAACTCAGCTTGACTTGGACTTAAGCGAGATACGAAATAACGATGAATTGTCTACGCTCCAATATGACTATTTTTATAGACTCGTCATACACTGTCCCTCAGATCCTCATAATTGTTATTCGCTATTTGAGTTGTAAAATCCAGACTTGGAAATGAATAGCAATGTGATTGTTGCTCAGCATATTGTTTACCATTGAAAGCGAATCCTTTTGGACAGGTCCATATCTACCCAACGAATTATTGGACTGAAAATAATCTTGACTTTACTCTCACATACAAACAACATTTTTTTGTTACACATGGCCAACCATAGGTTTCAGAGTTCAACAAGAAACAAGTCAATAATACAGTGGTGTGATAACAGTATCTTCAAACTAACACTCATGTGACTCACAATCCTCGTTTGTGAATTAAATTCAAGTTTTGCATAACATATTGAAGGATTTGAATAGCCCTGCAATGAAAATGCTTTCGCCGAAGGTTGCCTTCTTGAAATTGCAGTGGGACTTAAATTTTCGTAAAAGTAAATCACGAGAAAAAAACAAAATTTCCAAGAACTTCTGATTTTGAGTTCATCCTTGTAGACATTACAATTTAGGTCTTGTTGAAATGTTTTATCATTTGGAGATTGTTTGAAGATTGTAATTCTTAACTTTTGTATAAGTCAAATCTGATGTGATAATACAAAGAAATGACAAGAGTAGATCGAAGATGTGACTGATGATTCACGTGTGATGATGTTTCTGCCCATGTTTTTTTCCCTGGTTGATGATAAACAATTGAAATCTGCTAATCCTATCGTCAAAAAGTTAATTATATTGCATGAAAAAAATAAAATGTACACAAATATACTCAATTTACTAATTCACAACTCATAAAGGATAACTTGACACATTGATAACTCCAGTTTAAATAAGATCGACTCAGAATTGGGTATTATCTAGAAATACGGAATACTTTTCAAATTGATTTAGAAATTGTGTTGCAAGATAATTTGACACAGTATTAATTTGTTGTGATTCAACACGTCAGTGGTTTGTAGAGATGATAATGAGCACTAAGTTGATTTAGTTTTTGGATTTTGACTTCAAAAATGATGTTAACTTGAGAAAAATCTGATTTTTTTATCAAAGTTATTTTATTCAAGGAAAAACTGGGGTTTTTTAAAGTCTTTTATAATGTTCAAAGAAACACACAATAGTATAATAACCTGAGATAATCACTAACGCATTTGAGTTTCGCGTTAAATTTGTAGTAAGTAATTGTAGAAGGATTTTTAAGCACAAGGAAAAAGGTCCGAATTCAAGAACGTATAAATATGACTGTCGAACTTTGCAGTTACAAATGAAGGAAAAACCAAACGAGCTTTGGTAGTCATGATCAGGTTATGGTAAATGTGTTGCCACCAAGTTTCAACATGGTTACATTATTCCATAAAAGAGTAATTCTTTATGTGCTTTCAGGGTTATCATTTCTCAATCACCACAGCGAGGTATTTCCAATGGACCTCGCACGGACGCAGTGTCAATGACAAAACGCAGTTACTGATCTGCGTAGGCTGTACAAACCTGTGCCAAACGCGACCTGCAGTTACTGGATCAAGACCACCGAATGCAATCTCCGACGTGGTAGAAACGTTGCCGAGTTGACTCGGTGGTGAGATAATTGTCACCGTCAACGATAAAGAAGCTCAGGGTTTAGGCCACGACAGTGGCAGGACACGACAGTGGCAACACTTTAGGCTCATGTGCCTCAATTCCGATGGCATATTGTCCCCCATCCACATGCACTCCCCTCACCACACCTCGCAACTCCAAAACCCTAGCCAGATTGGCAGACGACTCCCGGACAAGCAGAGGAGGTTTAGCACGAACAAGCACGGACAGGTAGAGATTGCTATCGAGTAGACAGGAACATGTCAATCTGAGACAGAGTCTCTGGCTATGGCGTCAGGAGCCCTGATGTCCTTTGCAGGGATTCCCACACCAATTCCGACAATCTCCAGTTGCTTGAGACTTCGGGCCGCTTACGCCACGGCTTTGCCTGCATCAGCGCCGGCGGGTGATACATCCAGCAGCGTGAACTCAGATGGGAACAAGCGGTTTTTTGTGAAAAGATGGACGCGGCCTGTGGAGAATTCGCCACACAAGGAAGCGGCAATTGCGTGGGTCAATGTTGGCCCGTTGATTAAGCAGCTGGAGGAGAATGGAAATGTGCAGCTGAAGAATGCGGGATCGTTTCAGAATATTCCGGACTGGCAGTGGAGGTTCGCATTGAAGCGGTTGTGCGAGACTAGGAAAACTGATATCGCTTGCCGGCTTCTCAGATGGCTGCACAGCGAGAACAATTTTCTCGAGTCTTATGATATCGCATTTTCAATTGTCGTGAATGGTCTGAGCAAGGAAGGGCGGGTGAAGGACGCCTTCCAGCTGGTGGAGCTGTTGGCGACGGATGAGCAGTGGCTGCCCATGGCAACTTGTAATGCGCTTATTGAAGCCTGCGCCCGGAACGGACTAGCTGAGAAATCTCTGGAGCTGCTGAACCGCATGCGCCAGCATGGGTTGCAGCCGGACAATGTCACGTACAGCGTCGTCATCCAGGGTTGCACCAAGGCCAAGCTGGATCTGGGTACCATGCTGAAAATCTACGACGATATGAAGACCGAGAAGCTGGAAGTTGATGGCAAGCTCTACAACGATCTCATCGTGGCTTGTGCCATCGGCTGTGACGCAGACCGTGCTTTTTTCTTCATGGAGAGGTTACAGGCTGGCGGATTTGAGCCGGAAATGAAAGCGTTTATGGCGTTGATTCAGGTTTTGGGACAGTGCGGCAGAACCACCGAGGCCGAAGCAATTTTCGAGGAAATGAAGGTCTTTGGATTCGTCCCAAACGTGAGAGCATACAATGCGCTACTCGCCGCCTTCACCAGGAAAGGCTTAATGAGACAGGCAGAGCAGGTCGTTCAGGCCATTCAAATGGCTGGTTTGAACCTGAATGAACGTAGCTATGGGCTCTTGATTGATGCATACGCCCGTGCAGGGCGGCTTGAACAGGCTATGTGCATCTTTGAAAGTATGAAGGTCGTAGGAGTCAAACCCAATGCCTTTATCTACAGTCGGTTGATGTCTATGTTCAGAGATACTGGTCAGTGGGAAGGCTCAATAGAGATGCTGAGAGAGATGCAAGAAGAGGGAATTCCACCGAACAAGCATGTCTACAATATTATCATTGATACGTATGGTAAAAATGGGCAGCTAGAGGCAGCCCTTAGAGTATTTGAAAATATGAAGGCGGAGAATGTCCCCCGCGATGTAGTGACTTGGAATTCTTTAATTGAGGCCTGTTGTAAAGCTGAACGATTTGCTCAGGTGCCAGCATTGTACAAGAGGATGCAGGAAGACGGGCATTCGCCATCTGCCCATACTTTCAACATCCTCATCAACCATCTTGGCTCTCATGGCGACTGGGAAACAGTAGAAGATTTCCTCCGGGAAATGCAAAACATGGGCATCGTAAAGAACGAGGTCACTTACACAACTTTGGTGGATCTCTACGGTCGATCTGGGCGATTTCAAGACGCGGTGAGGTGTTTCGAGAGCATGCAAGCTGGAGGGGTTAAGCCAAACTCTGCTGTATTTTGTGCATTGGCCAACGCGTATGCTCAGCAGGTGTGTTTGGTGAAACTATCTCTCTGGATATTCTTTCTAAGCATTATGAGATTGAGATGAGAGTAGATCAGCTTTAACGCTGTCAACACTTTCTTTAATGTTTGTACAAAGACTTAGCTGAGAGTGCTCTCGGGCTTCTCTTGCCCTTGTCTGGTTATATTAGGTAACACCAGCCGACATGTACATGATGAGCTTGGTAACTTTGAGTCTAAAACGCTATTGACTCTGTACAGGGCATGTGTGAGCAAGCGGTCAATGTCTTTAGGGACATGGAGAAGGTTGGCATTGAGCCAAATTTGACAATGCTGAATTTGTTGATAAACGCATTTAGTGTTGCCGGGAAGTACTTGGAGGCCTTTGCTGTCTTCGATTACATGAGAGAAGTGGTAAGTGGGCTGGAAGTGTCGCATCGATGGTGTTTGACAAGAAGACTTGTTAGTCATTAGTCCAGTTGTCAAAGTCAACAACACCGGGTTTTTCACACCCTGAACTTACAAAGTCTTCAGAGAGTGCTTTTCTGAATATGCTTCCTGTTTTGAAATTACAGGAAATTAGTCCAGACGTTGTTACCTATACAACGCTGATGAAAGCTCTGATCAAAGGGCGCCGATTTGAGAAGGTATGATGATATTGGTTCTATTCCCCTGTCGTCAGTTGATCGTTAGTTCATGGTCTTTACTTATTTGCCTGTATTGTTCGTAGCACTGAAAGCTTGTTGTTCGGGTCTCGTCATTGATGTAGGTCCCTGAACTGTTCGAGGAGATGGTATCGTCTGGCTGTAAGCCAGACGAAATGGCTAGGGACATGCTCAGGAGTGCCGTGAGGTTCACAGAGGAGAGGCAACGAAATCCAGAGGCCACAACAACGGCAACACCTTTGGAGTATTGGAAAGTGTAGACTGGTGATTTCCAACTGCGCCGACTGTGAATCTTCGCTTAAGTGGAGTAGGTTTGGGTGGAGACCAAAGTGTCATTGTAAATGCTTTCATCCCAATCGTCATCCAGTTTGCTAACTGTTGGCACATGAGGTGGGTTCCTCTCTAACTCATATCTCACATCTTAAATGTAGGATCTCATCTGCAACACCTTGACTAAACCCTTTTCGCACCCTTTACACTTCTGTATTCTTGAATGATTCAAACTGTGTGCTGGAAATTTGACTTTGTACCATTGTGTTCTTTAGTAATTTATATCTCAGAGCTTATCGCACCCTTTACACTTCTGTATTCTTGAATGATTCAAACTGTGTGCTGGACATTTGACTTTGTACCATTGTGTTATGTAGTAATTTACATCTCAGAGCTTATCGAGTTGTAGCAGTAACTTGTCAACAAGATTGACAGCTCAGATATAGGGCTACCTATGGGTCCAGGTGATTGTTGCAGGTTGTACGCCATCATTATGTAAACGTTCGAGAGTAGCCTGTAACTCATTTCTTCTTCTGTGTAGGTTCTGTAACAATTCGATGTCAATTGCGAGATACTCGAGAAGGGGCAATGGGATTGAGGCCACTTCATGCGCGAGGGAGATCTTGGCCGACCCGAAGAGATTAGACTGACCAGAAAAGTTTAGATATAACCTAAATGTGCGAGAAGGCATGTATTATTTGTAATAGTATCAAATTATAGTTCATTTGTACCCTGACCGAAAGTGCGTTGTATCAAAACCTATTCCACCGATTTTGTTCGAATATGAGACTTTGATTACGATCAAGTACAATTTGAAGGGTGCAGTGTAGGGGCTTAGGAATAAGAAAGTTAATGATATTTTTTATTGTTGAGTAATAAAGTTTCATACCGGGTGAAGGGAGAGGTACTTTCCCGAATATGATGGAAAAGCGGATATTATGTGAGCATGTTTACACGAGCAAGAGAGCGAGTTAAGGTTGGCAGTGCCTTACGTGGAAACGCAGCGAATGGAAGAAACTGAGACGAACTGCTCCATGCGATGAGCTTGCGCAAGAGGGAAATGTCAAGACAAATAGATCGCAATGTCAAGACAAATAGTAACGAAGACGAGAGTAGTAAAGAGAAGTTTTCGGTTAACCGCAAAGTGCTGATTTGAAGATTTGGATTCAACCTGCAATATTTTGCAGGTTGAAGAATGTGGGAGGTGAACCATGGTGAGAAGTACATGATGTGTGCCCAAACCGTGTGAGGAACAGCTCACGCAAAATGGAGAAAAGCATGTCTGGAAGCATGGGAAGTGAAATTGAGGTACAGTATCAAGAATTGAGACTCAATGGGTCAAGGCAGGACAATTACGGTACGAACCGGAGGATTGATAGCTCAATGTATAATTAACACAAAAAGAAGCAAACTTACATAAGATGGATTTGAACCCAAATTTAGTAACTTCTGAGATAATTATAACGGAATAATTATTAATGCCTTTGTATCTTTGCGAATAGTGTTTATCCATAATGTGTACAATCATTATTCCTTAAAGTAATAGAAAATAAAGCTTTAACTCTGGAACAATCTAATATGACTTTAAGAAAATTATGTACAGTGCATATTTACTTAAAAGTTAAAATAATGAAATAAAGCTAGAATATATATTACAATGTAATATTTAGAACATATTTTTCTATAAAATAGATGTTGAATCTCATTTGAATATTTACTTTCATTTAATAAGTCAATATATTGTTTTTGGCTACTTATAGTTGTATTTGTTGAATTACATTTCTAGATAATTAAAATATGACATTTTTATATTGTAAATAATAAATTTCAATTATTGAAAGATTTGATAATTTTTATATATAAGATTAAAAAATAATCATCATAGATATAAGTAGATTTTTATTTTCTTAAATGAAAGATAGATTTAATATGATATTCTTCAACTAAAATACATTCATTATCATTTGTTGAAGATGATATAATATTTCCTTGACAAAATAGATAGTTATATTTTTTTCTATTCAAATCCAAATGTTCTTATTCAAATTTGATATTATTATGATATCAAATTTGAATAAGGACTGTTATATCTAAAATGAAATCACACATATAGATCTATAGAATGATGCAAGAGAACTCGATATTTTTCGCAAAAGTACAATTTTATTGTTATGTTTTTTCCTTAGTCTAAAAATCTATATACTTGCAAATCCAATTATGTATTTAAAAATTTGAAAAAACATATTAGATAAATTCAAATAAAGTTAATATTTTGAATAATTTTATTATAGGTTTAAAAAATCTTAATAAATAAATAATAAATAAAAAATATATTTATTCACTTTTCAGTCCTTGGTTTATATTCAATCAATCATTATGAGATGATATACATCTCATAATGAGATGTATTATTTTATCCTGATAGTCAGATTATCCTTTTCATCAAAATTATATATACTTTGTAGACCAATACTTTGTTACAAAAAATGATGTTATAAATAATCTAGAAATCTAGAAATAATTCAAATTCTAAAGATAAATCCATAGAGAGTAGAATGGTGGTTAGGAAATGACAAAAACTATCAAGTCAAGAATTAATGATGTGTAAAGATAAAGAACACTAATCTTATTTCAACTAATATGGCTCAAGAGTTTGATAGTGGATTGTATGACTAGCTAGACAATTAACTATGATGCCAAAAGTATATTTCATGCAATTCATCAAAGTATGTTGATGATGGAGAAAATCTAGATAGTTTTTGTTTTTATCTCATTTCTTACATAAGAAAAAGTATTCTATATTCTTTCTCTATCATATGATTCAATATTTATATAGATTAATCAACCTTGTAGAATTGAAAGTATTTAATCTATCAAGATTTAAATGTTTGATAGAGACAAACGTATATTGATTCAAATTAGATCTTTACAAATATGAGAAAAAAATTGATAACCTTTGAAATGTTAGATGTAACTATCATGAAATAAAACTGTAGAAAGTAAATGCTTGAAGTGAGTATGTATGTTAAATTATGTTAAAAAATCACAAACACAAATTTTCTACATGTTAGATTCCAATATCATTTGTAGAGAAGCCAACTTTACTAAATCTTGTATTCAAATGTTTCATGTATGACATTCTAGGCCTGGACACATAAATAACAAATACTTGACATTCCTTGACAATGGAGATTTGTTAATTGAAAATGGAAAAATTGACTTAAAGTTTGGTTAACATTGTGTAAGCATCGTAGTCAAACATTTGGAGTTGGAACTCACGATTTCAAAGAGCTACTTGAGTATGTACAAAGTGACGTGTGAGAATTTTTTCTAAAAGTTTTGTTTTCCTGGAAATTAAACTATGCATCTTTTATTGATAATTACTTAAAATTTGTAAAGATTTCTTATTTTAAACAATTCTAAGATCTTTAAAACTTTTAAAAGTTAAAAAGTCCAAGATATTTATGTATTTATAATAACAAGAAATATAAAAGTTAAATTTTTGAAGTTATTGCAAAAACATACGTATTATTCATCATTTTATCATAGTCTATACTCCATAAAATAACTTTGTTTTTTAAAGCTTTAATAAAAAATATTGAAGAATGGTAGAAAGTATGTTGAATCAATCTAGTTCATCATATATATTTTTTGACCAAAAGATGTTAATATCTGAATGTATCTGTTAAATTCTTCTAGTTCTTTCACAATCAATTTCTTGACACAATGTAAAGTGAGTCACAAATGGATAGTTGATTATAGTAATTTAAAAAGTTTTGACAATACATTGTATTCTCTTATAAATTCTCTATATACACAGAAGAAATAGTGTGGACTTCAAGAAATTTTTTCACGTTTAGCAAAATATACTACAATTTGACTAATATGTGCACTTTTTGTCTATTTATGGATGTGATGAATACAATCAAATCATTTTTTCATGAATTTGAAAGTAAAAAATTTACATGAAACAATCATCTAACTTTGAATAGAAAGATCAAGAAAAGTTAGTTTTTAGATAGTTGAAATCATTTACAAAGACATAAACAAACTCTCAGACAAAATAATGTGAGGTTTGATGAATTCATGAAAACATAAAGATTTTCACAGCATATGTATGATCCATGTATATACAATAAGAAGATAAATAATAAAATATTTAATCTTATCTTCTAATACTTTACGTGTATGACATGCTCATTTTGGCAAAAAAATCAGTTTGTGATTGATATATTCAAGAATCAAGTGAAGTGTAAATTGAAGATGAAAGATTTGGATAAATCCAAGATTATATTAGAGATATCTATTCATAAAACTTTGAAAAAAGAAAATCTATGATTAAGTCAAAACGATTTTGTTCAGCAGAATTTATTGTTAGACAGTTTCAAAATGAGAAAATTTTAAGTAGTATGAATTCATTTGACAACATAATTTAATTTTTTTGTACCTTAATTTTCAACTTGAGAAGAGAATGATGTCATCAATATCCGATGACAAAGCTATAGATAGTTTTATGTATTTGATCGTATGCACAAGACTTGATATTGCTTAATCATAGAAAGATGTATCAGGAAGTAATAAAATAAATTCTAGGAACTCAAAGAATAATAAATATTATGGTATATTGTTTATCAATTCATTGAACAATACCATAATCTTGTTAGATTAGGTTGATACTAATTATGAATAAGATTTGGAAAAGAGAAAATTTATGATAAGGTATGTGTTTATGCTATATGCATTAGTTGGAGATCTATTTTGTAAAAGTGAATGGCTAAGTCTCCAATGGCAGTTAAATATGTGACGATGGCAGAAGTAGCAAAGTACATATTTGATTTAATAGTCATATCATTGAGTTAAGATTAACACATGATGTTATTAATCTTCATTCTAATAGTCACTATGTGTTACATCTTATTGCAAATCAAGTGATGATAATAGGGTAAAACACATCAATATCCGATATTATTTTAGAAGAGATTAAAGTTTTTATAAAAAAATTAAAGTAGTGAAAATTAATGATACAAAATTTGACCCAATTAAGATTAAAGTTAAATTCAATCCAACTGATGCATTGATCAAAATAATTCATTTGAAAAGTTTAGGAGACATTATGCTACTATTTAAGTTTTGCATGAAGATACATGTAAAGTTTATTAACAATTTCTTATTACTTTAATAAGATTTTACTCTATAATATTTTGATTACAGTTTGATTCTACTTAAATATAGCTTATAGATTGGACTTTGTTATTTTTTTCTAGAAGTTTGTGACAAATATGTACATTGGTTATGGAGGTTATTGTCCCCAAGACATGAGTTAAGGTAAGAATTATTAATGTTAATCCAAATCAAAGTATAATCTAAATAATTTGGATGTAAAAATATTCTCTATGTTTAAATTTTTTTGTTACAATCATATATGAGATACGGCTCTAGGCATGGTGTTTTTGGTGAAAAAGTTCCGACACTACTTACTGGGCTATGACTTTGTCTTTCATTTGGATCACTATGCACTGCAGCATCTAGTGAAGAAAGCTGATCTATCAAGTCGAATAGCACGGTGGGTTCTGCTATTACAGGAGTTTACGTTCACGATGCAAACGAAGGAGCGCACTTCAATCAACCATTGGTACAATGGTTGATTGAAGTTATTATTTTGGTTGATTGAAGTTGACAACGCAGTTTTCATGCTGGGGATTAGATATTCTTCTGATCCCATATGTGTTTCTTATGCTGAATAGCGTTGCACGTCCACAGAGGGGAGGCTCATTCTTGACAACTGGCAATATACTTTAAGTTTTGTAACCAGTGCATGGGATTCCGGGTTATAATCATGTATCTAAACTCGCAAATAATTTCAAGTCAAGACGTACTCATGCCAGAATTAATAGGTTGGAGATGCCTGAAAGATGATTATGACAAAATAG